GATACGGAATTTCAAAAAACGTATACAAAACTTATTTATAATAATGAAAAAACGTATGCAAATTTTTTATAGGGAAATGTCTGAGTAGATTTTAGTTGAGTAATAAGATCTCTCAACTTGGGATAAACACGATCACAAGTTATTAACATAAACTCTTAAAAAAGTTCATAAATAGAATCCTTCATATTATCAGATTCTTTTTCCATATTATCAGACTTTTCCTTCGCATTATCAGACACTTCATTTGAATCTAAATCTGAATTTTCACGTTCATGTTCATTTTCATCACAGTCATCTTTTTCATCTATTTATTCTTTATATCATCTTATATGCTTGGTTTTTTTTATGATATGGTCATTGCAAAATCACAAGTATTACGAAAAGATATACTACAGGTATAAAAATTATATCCAAGAATTCTCGTAGCATCGTTTTGTCCTTTTCAAAAAGTTTCTTTGTGCTGAATAAAAGATGCAGCTTCTCACATTTAATACAATTTACAGTAACACCCACATGTAGCAGAAGGGCAAAATGACATAGTATGTTTCATTTTTGTAGTTTTCATTTTACCCTTGTTTTTATCTTGACATTCTTAAGCAAAGGTCTATGATCTTCTGTTGTTTGTTTACCATACAATTCTTCAAATGACTTGTGTTGCAAGTCTTCTTTAGGTACTGAATCTGAAAGATAATGTAGTTATTCAAAATCTTCTGATAAATAATAAGAAGGACAACAAATAGTACAAGCTAATTCACCACATTTTTTTATTAAAAAAAAGTAATGCCTTGATATGCAACAGTATTTCATTAACTCTTATAAACGTAACTTTAAATAAAGATAATTTAATCAAGTGGTCAAAATCTTCTTTGAATAACTCAATCAGTATTCTACTTACCCTCTATTTTATTTGTTCTGCAGTGTGATCTTCATAGGTAATACTATCATCCATAAGCTGAATCATTTTCCAGAATCTCTCTATTTCCATTTCTGATATTACAATAAATGTTTTAAAGGGATCATCTTTAAGAGATTGGTGATTGAACACATTATGAAGTAAACCAATTGGAGCTTAGAGACTTGCAATTAGGTCTCCCTTTAAGGTAAAATTTTTCTCAGCAATTTTGTGGATTTTATTCATTATACCACATTTGCTTATTAATTTTTCTGACTGATCATTCATTTTAATTTGCATTAAACTAACACTTTGTAATCTTAGGTTCAGAATCAACATAATATGTTCAACAGGATTTTTTATGAATATTGTAGTGGAGTTCGAATAGCAACAAAATAATCAAAATCTAATATAAGAAAAGACAAATATATGATAATTAAACACAAGTATATGTATACCAATGATCTGATTCACTATCTGTATAGAGACACAACACAGATTTATCAACAAGTTCTTCTTTAAGAAGTATATTATACAGCTCAATTATATGGCAAATAGGTGAAAAAGGTTGAAAGATTGGATCTTTTAACCCAATGTGCACTTTTCCTAAATAGAAATCACCATTAATTGATTTGGATATGTTACATATCATTATTACACTCAGTATGATTCCTGTTTTATGAAATCATGATTTGCAACTGTAAATATAGTATCCTTACTGACCACTACTTTTTTTCCTCTCTCTACTGCAGTGACTAAAAATCTAAGTTCACCAACCTTACAACAATATTTATCATTTAAAAAGACCAAATTTGTGATTTTACTAAACTTTATAGCAAATTTTTTTTCATAGCGAAATAATGCTGACGTATAATAAACATCTGGATGGTAAGTTCATAACTGACATGTTTGAATCATAAACTTTAGAGATAAGCGACTGGTGAATTGTAAACTACTAAGTCTTATTAGATTTTTGGGCTAAAATTGTAATCGTAATCATTGTGCACTAGGAATTAGTATTTCAAGTGAACACTCACACTTAATATGATGCAGAAAATTATTTACTGAGATTGTGATCGCAAGATGCATGATTGTATTATACCTGCGTTTATCCACAGCAATTACAGCATCTACTACTTTCCTGCAAGAAATTGATCTGCAATTCTCTAGAAGATATCATATTTATTTGGTCTTCTATTATCATGTTCACGTAAATCGATGATAATATCTAGATCTTTAAGTTCTAAAATGAGTCTAACATGTTCATCAACTTTTGCTTCATTTTCAGTTTCAGCTACAGAGATGTCACTTGTTAATATTCGGTAGTTTGTTTGAAGTGCTAATAGCTTAACCTTTGGAAGAAGCAGATCATATTTATATAAATAATTTATTCGCATTGCTCATGTATGATAACAAGATGCGTCAGTTTACAATTTATTTACAATTCGCATATTCTCTTACAATACTAACATTTTATTAGCTTGTTCATCAATTTTTCAGATTGAAAAGAATTATTTTTAGAATTAAATCGATATTCTCTAATCTTAAAAGGAAATACATGAGATAAGCCCTAGATATAACGCATTCTTTGTCTATAATAAATTGTTTGTTAGTTAGAGTTCTACATTAATAGTCTTAACAATATTATTTTTGCTACTTATACAGGATTAGTTGGTAAGTATTCTTCAATATCAACTGATTCTTACGACAATAAATCAGCGAGCAAGTATTTGAAATAATAGTATTTGGCTTTATCAGCAGGCGTGACCCAAATGTTTTGGTTATAAATTTTAATTGTTATAGCTTGGTTAACAGTTCATATAGAAGTTTTTGATGCATGATTCATAGCAGCAATATCGCGTTAGCATTGCAGAAACCCTATAAAATTTGAAATGGTAATAATGAGATTGTCAAATGCATCACAAAGCCAATTAAAATTTATCATCAACATTCATAATGATGTAGCATGTAGAGCAAAAGTTTGGTAATGTAGATTTAGTTCATTTGCATCAAGGATTTTTGCGATTGCTTGTATGATTTTGGGTTTGCACAATCAAAAAACTCAAGAAAAAGTTCAGATATGTGATAATTCTGTTTTTTGAATTTCTGGTGATACGCATATCAATATACTAAATCATTTCAGTTAAGTTAATTGTAAATTGTTTCTCTTATGTATTCGCATATGATTGAGTAGACTATTCTCTACCATGACGTTGAATCCAATCAACTAGGTTATTACGCAGCTTTTGCTTAAGATTTGACTTTTCTGATTGTAAAAAGGTTGGCAAGTGCAATTAGGTTTGGCATGCATTTTGCATTAGGATCATAAGGCTGTTTCGCTGTGATATCAAATTAGGAATTACATTATCAGTTTTGAGTTGATAATGTATATTTTTCCTATATTTGTCGTAAGTTCCATAATATCACAATTAAGTTGTAATTGCAGTTGGTGTCTCGCTTATTTTAACATGATTTATGATCTCAAAATTTGTTATAACAATATTAGACTCGAAAGACAGTTCTCTAGTTATAAGTTTTTCAAAAAAATTCTTGATTGTCATTTTATAAGGAATAGGATGAATATACCATTCATAAAGATTTTTTGACCCTTTAGTGATGCGAATATTTGCGAATGGCATTTTTTGCTGAATTACAATAAAAGATTTGTTGAAAGCTTAAAGGAAAGATTGTTTTAACGTATTTGTACCTTTTTGAATTTATATAATCAAATTTGTTACATGTTTTTAATCTCTTTTAGGGGCACAGTCAGGAAAGAAAAGTTGTTTTTAGGAGTGCAGTTAGAAAAGGGAAAGTCTCTTTTAGGGGCGCAGTTAGGAAAGGGAAAGTCATTTTAGAAGCGCAGTCAGAAAAGAAAATTACTCAGAAGCACGGTTAGAAAAGGAATGCTAACGATCTTTAATTCTTTAAAAGTATAAATTCATGCAGAATTTAGTTAACCGAAGTCATTTAAATAAATAGAATTGGTTTATTGTGATAATATTATTCGAATATCATCCAAAAGACAACATCATCCAAGACAAAATTATAATTGTATAATCATTTCATTAATGAGGAAATATTGAATTAACAACTTTACTTTTTTCTTTTTATTAAACTTGATTTGACTTTTTATTTTTGATAATACATGTAATAGTCTATTATATGAATGCGCAAAACAAAAAATATAAAATTTTAACCGGGTAGCCGGATTATGAAACAATAAAAATGTTTAAAAAATTTTTTTCTTTTAAAAGCAAAAATCCGGGTGGCCGGTCATACAAAGTTAACTTTAGATATGTAAATAAACTTGATCGTAACGCCTCAATTTTTTACTAGTAAATACATAGTAAAGGCAAGATTGATGATCGACATGTATTACAGAGTGAAAATCCGCAGTAATTGATTTTCCTATGTGATATACACTATTAAATAATTTCCATATCACGTGAACGCGATCAGATCAGACATATATAAAACTTTCTTTTAAAATGATTATCCTATTTCTTATTCTCAAATAATAATATAATAAAAATGTCTGAACATATTAACGCTGAAGAAACTCGTGAAGTTTACGCTGGGTACAACGGTAAGCTTTATAATTTGCTATTTTCCTATAGTAAAATTCAGCTTTTAACCAACCTTTTGATTTTCTAGCTCTTATAGATTATCTAAAAAAGCGAAGGAACAAATCTTATCGTGGATTCCTACTCCGATACCGAAACATAATTGTTGATTCTACAAATTCCTCAACTTATTGGAAGGACCTCAATGACTCCTGGTCCCGTCGATTTTTAAAGGAAGCACTAAAGTTAGATGAAAGTAATTTTATAAATATAAAAAATAAGGTGCGTTTTTTTTTTATTTTGCAAGGAAGGGCAACTCCTATTTGGGTCTCATCCTAACTAGGAGAATTACTGAGCTTTCATTGCTGGTAACCATCCCAGTTTTCACTGCTTGGGCACCCTAACTTTGTTGGTAATGATCTACTGATTTCGGAGGAGAAATGGGTTTATGTTACCGTCTTGTATCAAAACACTCACAACAGGTAGAGATAGAACGCAACTATTTGGAAACTTATTGGCTAGAAGTGGTTGAGGAATGCGAGTTGGTAAGTAAACTCATGAATTATATATAAATACTTTGTAAAATGTATTCAATAATGCCTAATATTATTTTTAGAGACAAAATCTTTTAGAATATAAAGCTAAAAAAGAACGTCTCCTCCAGACTCTTTCCAACTTTAATAACATAATACAAGTAACAGGTGCTAAGCTTGCTGAGCTTATGAATAAATACATTAATCATAAAGAAACAGATCTGATGGATAATGATTCTGAATCACAGCAAGAAATTTTATATGATCATAATGAATTTGATTTAGAGATCCCGATTTCTGATGGTCCCGATGAACAATTTAATACTGAGGAATTTTCACAGGATGCACTAGTTGATACCAATGGCAATGATCAGGAATACCATAATTATGATGATAGCAATGATAATGTCTATCTGCGCCGTCACCGTCGTCGAGGTTGTATTGATTATAGCTATCATCCTCGTTCAAATCGAACAATTCGATATCGTGACTACAATCGCGAGCTCAATAATGATGAAGTATTAACCGACGTTGATAATAGCGCTATACAGGATTCAGGTAACCATATCCTTGACGATTACAATCACGAATCCAACAACCATCATGAAGATATGGACAATGAAGAGGTGAAATTTTTTTTTTAAACTGATTTGGTAATCACTTTCCAAGATTTGTATAATTACATTAAATGCATTATTTCTATTCACTATCAAACTATCTTTAGGAATTGATCGTAGAAGAGGAGGAATCAGTGACTACCGAAGAGATGGATATTAGTGATGACAATCAATTAACTCAAAGCTTAGCTCTTACTCGTAAAATCCAAGGTATATTACGAGAATTAATCACACCCGTATCTACTGAAGAGGAGAGCGATAGTGAAGAACATGAAGATGGGCTAATTCCTGTCGAAATTGAACAATCTTCGGAAAACTTAGCACGATTATATCAAAAAGCCAATCGTGCTGAAAAGTATGCAAGGCATGGTAATCAAAAGGAGATTTTATCTTGGTTTAATTATGGAGAAAAGTTTGAAAATAGAGTCCATGAAATTGTAAGCAACGATCAAATCAATGAAAAAGCAGCCAGAAGTAAAGTTTATAATGAAGTTGAGCGACATCTTCCTGGAATAACACGGGTTAATTTACGTCAGAAACAAAAAAAGCCCGATATATTTATGTTTTATTTGGAGCAATAGGAGTAGATAAGATTAGGCGAATAATATCATATATTGCAGATTCCATCTCACGACTCAATAAGTCTCAAATTCAAAGGATCATAGATGATTTCTTCTTAAACTAAATAAGTGTTTCACGCTTATTGTATCCAATTATGTAATAAATACTAGCGTGGTCTTTGAAGGTATTTTGGAAAGGAGATATAAGAAATGGAACCTTTCTCACTCAAAATTGCTTGAAGATTCAAAAAGCCAAAATAATAATAGCTCAGATTCAAAGGATGAGTCAACAACAACGACCAAGCGAACTCAAGTCTCCAACACAATTAGCATCGTTAGCGAACCTTGATCTTCCTTTGTATTCTCGTCGTGATGACGATGCTGCATCATTTATTGATGATGAAGAGGATGAAGAAAATTATGAAGAGGAAGAGGAAGACGATTGGGGGAATAATAATAATAATAAATTTAAAAGTCAATCGTTACCCTATGGACAATTGCTTACATCTTATAATGGAAGAACGAGATCAAAAACAGATGATGGGACGGCACCATCACCACCTTATAACTTGAACCCTAGTTCTCCTCCATTACCAGGCATCCCAAATAATCTACCTCAATATCAAATTTTCCATGCTGCCCACATCACGTAACGGGTCGACCGCTCCACCTACAATGGCAACGTTTCCATCCAGTGTCATACCAGTGTCATACATCATCAAGGAGAATCAAGTTATTTTCCAAATTCTCCACCTTCTTATCCGTTCCATCTGCTCGTAGTAGTGCTAGTACATCTTCGCATTATAATTCAATGAATATTTGGCAAAGAAAAGTGTCGAGCAACAGCAATCAACTAACGTCCAGTAGTCAAAGTTATGATGGGAAATGATGATGAATATCCTGTTCCACCGTTGCAACGTGCATCTGTTGGACTTACTCCAGTTTTGCAACAAACCTCAGCACCTAGTTCAAACCGTTTACGATCTGCAAGTAATTCAAATATACATGAGATTCAAGAAGATCAATGGGAAAATATGGAACCTTTTCCTGATCTTCTTAATGACAATATAGCAATGAGTAACGGGGTTCAATCGGAATCACATCTGCGACACAGCGGATTAATTACTTCATCACAGACATCTAATACAAATGGTATTAACACTAATGTTCCGATTTCGAATAGTGCTTTATCATCACCTACCAATGGATTAGAAAAAGGTAATCAATATTCGAAGTATAGCCACACAACAATGAAAATTCAAGTAAATTATGCTGAAGACATTTTTGTGATCGTTGTTCCTAAAGAAATTGAATATAAAGAATTATGTGATCGTGTGAACATAAGATACGTTTGTGTGCTACAATGCGTGACGAAAGTATTCCCCTACGTATTAAGTATCAAGATGAAGATGGAGATCACATTACAATTAATTCAGTTGAAGTTGTTTTAATGGCATTTGAAGTAAGGTTAGCTGTTGGAAGGAATTTTGTTAACCTTTATGTTAGCTAAAAAAAAAAAAGAAGGATGATTGAAAAATGATAAATGAAAATAAAAATATTTATCATATGATCGCGTAAAAGAAGAAATTCGAAGTCAATTGTCTATAGACTTTTATTTTATATTATTATCCAATTTTTTTGTTTTTGCTTTTTTAAATAAATTTATATGCAAATATGATAAATTATTTTTAAGTTTAAATTAATAAAATACCTTCATAATTTTTGTACTGTATTATTAAATAAAAATTTTATTTTTTTATTTTTTCTAATAATATTTTTCTTTGAAATTTTTTTAACTGCATTTTTTTATTTTTAGTTTCATTTTATAATAAGTATAAAATTGGTTTTACTTTAAATTTAAAGTTATTAAATTTTAATAATAAATATATTTATTAAAAAATTAATGATATTAAAAATATAGAAGATTTTATTTTATTTTATCTTTTGCTTTTAAACCAATCTAACTCTTTTTAAATTTAAAAAAAAATTTATTATTAAGTATATTAAATTAATTTAATTTTTATATAATAATATTTAATATTACTTATTAATGTTAGATATTCTTTAATCTTTATATAAATTTATTTTAATTTGAAATGATTTTGAAGTAATAAATTTTTTTATTGATAAATCTTAAGGAGCTTTAAATAGATTTATTTAGAAATAATATTTTTTTTATTATCTCTTTCAATTTTTTTTTTTCAAAATTACCATAAATTTTTTTAATAATATATTATTTTTGTTTTAACATTATTTTATATAAATGATAAAAATAATATTATATCTAATGTCTTTAGTTAAGATATAATTATCATGTAATAATAAACAAAAATGAAATAATAAAATTTGTTCTAATTTTAAAAATATTATAAGATTAAATTAAGAAAAGCATAATTCATCTCTTTTATAATCTTTTAAAACAATTAAAATACAAAAATGATTGGCTTCATTTTTTTCATCTTAATAAAAATTACTTATTATATTAAATTAATAGCAATTATTAGAAAAATTCTAGAAGATTTTTGATGCAAATAAATCCTAAGAAAATTATTTAATTTTATATATAAATTATTATAATGCTCTTTAACAAATTGATTAATAATGATTTAAAAGTAATAATTAATTTATTTATACATTATAAATAATTTTTATTATGACTATTTATCATATCTTTACTAGTATAATAAATTTGTTTATTAGAGTATTTTGTAATAAAAAGAGAGAAAACTACTAAAAAAATTTTTTTACTTTATAAATTAAATATTATTTTTTTAATAAAATAAATTTAGATAGTATTTAGACCCAATTTGTTAATGGATAAACCAGGTTTATCCATTAAGAAAAAACTAATCTGGATTGATAACTGTTAATAAAATTTTAATCCAGTTTGTTTATAGGTTTAATCTGTTAAATTAACAGGTGAATAAAAAATGGATACTGGTTTATTAATGGTTAGATAATAGTTTAACAGTTGATTAATAAGTTGTTTATACCTAGATATATCAGATCTATCAAATTAAACTAGTTAGTTAGACAAAGATTACAAATGAATTTTAATAAAATTTTTTTATTTATATTACAATTAGTATTTGCATAGATTCAGATCAATTTGAATCTAATTTAAATCTGACGAATTAGATTCAGATTGGATCTGTTAGATTCAGATCTAATTCAAATTCAGATTTAGATCAGATCGGATCTGTTAGATTCAGATTCAGATTCAGATCTAATTCATCAGATTCGGATTAGATTCGAATCTGATTTGTCAGATCTGAATTCAACTTTTATAAAGCTGAAAAGTTCTTTTTCAATGAAAAGAAACAAATTTTTAGACTTCTTTAGAGCCAAAAATTTGTTTCCTTTCATTGAAAAGAAACAAATTTTCAGAACTCTTTTAGAGCTGAAAAGTTCTTTTCATTGAAAAGAAATGAATTTTTAGAATTTTTTTAGAGCTGAAAAGTTCCTTTCATTGAAAAGAAATGACTTTTCAGAACTCTTTAGAGCTGAAAAGATTCCTTTTAATAAAAAGGAATGACTTTTTGAAACTCTTTTAGAGCTGAAAAGGTTCCTTTTATTAAAAAGGAAGGACTTTTCAGAACTCTTTTAGAGCTGAAAAGGTTCTTTTCAATGAAAAGGAATGATTTTTCAGAACTCTTTTAGAGCTGAAAAGATTTCTTTCATTAAAAAGAAACATTTTTAGATCTCTTTTAGAACTAAAAATTCATTTTTTCAATAATACTTTTGGATTTGAATCAGATCAGATTTGGACTTAAACTGATTTGTCAGATCTGGATTTGAGATTCAATCTATCAGATTCAGATTAGATTTGAATTTTAACAGATCCGTCAGATTCAGATCAGATTCAGATCCTAAAAAATGAAAATCAGATCAGATCAGATTTGAATAAAATCTGATCCAATCTGATTTTATAGAACACTAATTATAATAGTTAATTTATTTATTTAAATAAATTATGAAATTATGATTTAATGTTGTAGAAGTACCAAAATTTTATCGATGTTAGCATTTTCTAAATAAAAATAAATTCAAATTATAAGAATTAAACTAAGCCTATTATTTATTGCAATCAGATTTAGCAATGCGTCTGATACTGATTAAACAAATTAGTTTATTAAATTAAATAAGCCCGCTTGCAAAATAAATTTTCTTATTCACTTATTTTTTGCATTCATAACATTTATTAAACCCATGAAAATTGTTAATTATAATGGATATTTAACAAAAATAAAACTTTTATTAAAGTCAGTATATTGGTACAGTATGTTTAATTAGTTATATTAGGATGGATTGTATTAAAATTAGACGCATTCCTTTTTAAAAATATAATCTTCTTAAATAATTCTGACTTTATATGTGTTCTTTTATTAGTTAATAGATTACCAGCATCAGAAAAAAGTCATTCAGTTGCAATTGATGTTGCAGAAATTGCCAAATACTTTTGAGCAAAACAACTTAAAATAGGAAATTTGTCTTTTTTTTATTCTACCATGCAGGAGGATTTGAATCTAATGGAATCTCTAGTAGTTGAAGATATTCATCAACTTCATTAAGAGCAACTACATTATCTTTAGCAAGTCATACCATTAAAGTTTTTTTTTTTGCTAAAGATTTTGGTTGAGATACTTCTAAAGAATTAGATATTCCAGTTTCTTTTTGATAATCTTCTTTTTCTTATTCAAACAATTCATATAAATGCTGTTTAGTATTAACTTATTGATCTATTAAAGCAAAGTCAAGTTTTTTCAACTGAGGATCTAATATTAAAGGAATTAGATTTTCAGTGGTAAGTGTAGGATAATATTTCTTTATATTTGTAAATAATTTTGATTTAACTTTATCAAGTAAACTAAAAGTATTAACTGGTTTATTA